TGTGTCTTTGTCAAGTTTCTTTCTGGTTGTTCTATCCATTTTTTAAAGTGGTATATTAAAATCACCCACTATTATTGTAGATTCATCTATTTCTTTCTTCAAATCTATTAGGGTTTGCTTTATATATTTTGGAGCTCTTTCATTGGGAGCATAGATGTTTATTATGGTTATGTCATCTTGTTTAATTGTCCCTTTAGTCATGAGATAATGTCCATCTTTATATGTAATAATAAAGATGAAGTCTTTTGATGCACAAAAGTTTTTAATTTTCATCTATTTTGTCTACTTTTGTTTGTGTAGTTTTCAAAATGTTTGGTAGTCTGTGTATTCCCTGAATTAGTGCCTTCACATTTGTCCCTATTTTTTCATTGATGGCCTTCATAATTCTGGGATGCACATTTAGGTCTTTAATCCATGTTGAGTTGGTTTTTGTATAAGGTGTGAGGTTAAGGTCTTGTTTCAATCTTTTGCATATCACTTTCCAGTTCTGCCAGCACCATTTGTTGAAGAAATTATCACCTCTCCATGCAATATATTTAGGAATTTTGTCAAGAATTAGTTGTCTGTATGTAGATGGGTTAATTTCTGGATTCTCAATTCTGTTCCATTGATCTATGTATCTTTCATTGTACCAGTACCAGGCTGTTTTGAGCACTGTAGCTGTGTAGTAAATTTTGAAGTTGGGGAGTGAAAGGTTTCCAACCTTATTCTTCTTTTTAAGCAGTACTTTGCTTATCCTGGGTCTCTTTCCTTTCCATATAAAGTTTGTAACTGTTTTTTCCATCTCTTTGAAGAATGTTGTTGGAATCTGGATCTGGATTGCATTATATGTGTAAATTCCTTTGGGCATTACTGACTTTATCTATTAGGCTGTTTATGCTGAACAGATAACAAACAACAACAACAAAACAAGAAAATCAGAACAAAGCAAAACTGACAAAGTGTTTTGTCCACTTTTATTCCAAGGTTCCTGTGGCATTTTCCCCTGGTGTTTCTGCTCCCCCACTTGGTCTTGCCATTGGTCTCACCCAAGATGTCAGCTCCAGGCCTCAGAGCCCGGCTGATTTCTTAACTTCAGCTTCAAGTTCTAGTAGCTATAAGACTTCAGACTTTTAAAATATTCCTAGCTATGTGGTTCCAAGTTTTGGAGCTCTGCCCTGGATCTGCTTTGCCTGGTATTCTGTGGAGTGGCTGACTGATGGCAAACTTCAGTTCACCTCTACCTAACTGCCATCAAGCCCTGCCTCCCAGAAATACTGTTTTTTAATGTCAAGAATATTTGGGGAAGGCTTTGCCAAGGAGTCCAGGCTTTAACTATTTAAGTGAAATATAAGAAAGATATAACTTGGTATAAATGGTAGGTAACCCCCTAAAGTGGGACAGCTCAGGATCTACCTATTATATGTACATGTTAGTTACATGTACTATTATGTATTATTAGCAGCATACTCAATATTGTGGGAGCAGAGAACAATAGTCTCTGTGAAAAGTATCAGGTTCTTATACCTCAAATATAAAGTCCTTATGCTAAGTTGACTGATTAGGTCACATACTAGTGAAACAGAACAAGAGCTACATAACCAGTATTTTGAATTATGGAATTTACTGACATAATTTCCATTCCTATAAAAATTAACCTCCAATCCCAAAAAGGAAGAGAAAAGAAAAAAATAAAAGCAAAAGGGTTTCATTTTATTTCCATTAATTTCCAGATTTCTTTCTGTTTGGTTATCTAATCAGATTAGATAGTTCTAACCTATTTTTAAAAATATACTAAAATAAAAATTTATAAAATATTAAATGTATAAATATTAAAATAAAAAGATTGCTATATTTTACATGTACAATTCAATTACATTCATCATGTTGTATAATCATCACCACTATGTGTTTCCAAATTTTTTCATCACCCTTAAACAGAAGCTCTGTGCTTAATACTTGCATGTCCTAATTTCAAAACATAAAACAAAGCTACAGTAATCAGAACAGTCTGGTTGTTGTTGTTGTTAAGTACTGTGGAGCCGGTTCTGACTCATAGTGACCCTTTACAGGGGTTCCTAGGCTATAAATCTTTATGGGAGCTGAAAGCCTCGTCTTTCTCCCATAGAACAGCTCGTAGTTTCGAACTGCTGACCTTGATGTTAGCAGCCCAATTCATAACCACTAGGCTACCAGAATAGACTGGTATTAGCATAATAACAGTCACATAGAACAAAACAATAGAATTGAGAGTCCAGAAATAAACTCATATAACTATGGCCAATTGAGTTTTGACAAGTTTCATCAATGAGCACAATTAAGTGTTCTAGAATTCCCATTCTTTGCAATGTTTTATCTATAGTTTGTTATTATTCACGTAGTTGAAATGAAAACCTTTGCATAATCAATAAAACACAAGTAAATATCTTTCTGGTATTCTCTCCTTTCAGCCAAAATCCATCTGATTTCAACAATGATATCGCTCATTCTGTGTCCTGTTCTGAATCCAGCTTGAATTTCTGGCAGTTCTCTGTCGATGTACAGTTGCAATCATTTTTTAAATATGTTGAACAAAATTTCACTTGTGTGTGATATAGACGATCTTTTACAAGGGTTTCTACATTGCAATAGATCACCTTTCTTTGGAATAGGCACAAATATGGATCTTGTCCAATCAATTCGCCAGGTAGCTGTGTTCCAAGCTGTGTCCCAAGCTTATGATTAACTTTGTAGGCAGCTGTCAAACTATTCCAAAGTGTTTGTATCAGTTGGCATTCTTAGCAATTAATGAGAGTTCCTGTTATTCCACATCCCTATCATTGTCAGTTTTGTTAATTTTTTTGAATTTTAGCTATTCTAATGATATTGCACTGGACCGCAAGGTCTTTTTGAACTGCAAGCTCAGTAGTACAAATCCACCAACTATTCCTCAGAAATCTGTACAGGGTCACCTTGACTTGGAGCTAATTGGATGGCACTTACCAACAGCAATAGGTATGTAGGATTCCTGGTGTAGCGTTATAAGAGCAACACTGAACTGTGAACCACAAGATCCATAATTCAAACCCGTCAGCTGATTCTCAGAAACCCAATACAGGGTCACTATGAGTTAGTACCAACTTGACATCACTAACATATAAAGGAAGTTTGGTGGCACTGTGGGTTAGGCATTGAACTGCTAACCACAAGGTCAGAGATTCAATCCCACCAGCTGTTCCACAAGAGAAAGATGAGGCAGTCTGCTCCCATAAAGACTTAGTTTAGAGACCCTCCATGGGGTTTCTGTGAGTCAGAATTGGCTTGATGGCACTGGGTAATGGGTATTATAAGGAGCCCTGGTAGCACAGAGGCTAAGTGCTTAACTATCAAGTCAAAAGTCAGCATGTGATACATACCAGTTCTTCAATGGGAAGAAAATGTGGCACTCTGCTTCCTTAATTTGTTTACGGAATATTTATTTTACCTTGATGATGGAATAACATTGGATCAAGTAATTAATTCATAATAGATCATAGAAGCAAGTATAGAACTAATATAAACTAACTGTAAATGTAGTAGTAGTTTAGAGAAAAGAAATATTAGTTATAAATGTAAAACATTGTTTCTTCATTAACCCTGCTAACATAGCAATCATAAACAAAGACTCCAGAATTTTACTATTAAAAAAAAAGGATACTGTGCATGAAATTAGTGATTGGGAAAACTGATTTGCTCTGCAAACTTTCACCTGAAGCACTATATATATATATATATATAATGGCATCTCTACTTATTAGCTTGGATCTTGGACAAGATGATTAAACTATTTAGTAGCCTCAGTGTTTTCATCTATAGATGATGATAATAATTCTTGCCTTATTGGATTGTTTTAGAGAAGTAATTATATAATTTTGTAAAATATTTGGCAAAAGAACTACTATATATTAAAAACTCAATAGAAAGTTTAATCAAATCTTAAAAATAGTGTTTGACTAAGTCTTTTGCTCAATGCCTGATTGCTTCATAAATCACCACCCTTTAAGAACATGCAGTGGATTCAAAGTTACTAATCTTCATATTCATTTATACCATAGGGTCTGTTTACGAGATCTAATTTTTAAAGCTATTAGAGTCTACTCCATGATTTGACTCTGCAATTTTTAGCTCAATATTTACATTATTTGTCATTGTTGTTGTTAAGCAAGATCGAGTCTGTTCCGATTCATAGCAACTCTGTATAGGTTTTCTGAGGAGCGTCTGGTAGGTTTGAATTTATGACCTTGTGGTTCTCAGCCCAGTGCTGAGCCTACAGTGCCACACCAGGAATTCATAACAATGACTTGACTCCACAATCCTTAGTTCAAAATTTACTTCAATGTTGTTGTTATTGTTAAGTGTGGCTGGGTTGGTTGTGACTCTTAGTGACCCTATATAGGGATTCTGAGGAGCAGCTGGTGGGTTTGAACCACTTACCTTGTGGTTCACAGTCCAGTGCTGATCATACAGCTACCATTTTTGTTGTCTCTCCAATGGAGGTATAATCATGATGGCCATGATTATATGAATCAAAAATTTGGACTTTTGATCTAGATTTTTTTCTCCTGCTTTATTGTTGTTGTAAAGTGCTGTCGAGTTGGTTCCGACCCATAGCGACCCTGAACAGGGTTTCCAAAGCTGTAAATCTTTACGGGAGCAGAAAGCCTCATCTTTCTCCCACAGAGCAGCTGATAGTTTCGAACTGCTGACCCTGCAGTTCACAGCCATATTCGTAACCACTATGCTAGAAAAACTAATATAAAGACGTTATTGTTGCTGTAAAATGCTGTTGAATTGACTCCAACCCATAGCGACCCTATAGGGTTCCTGAGGAACGGCTGGTGAATTTTAACTGACGACCTGCAGTTCAGTGCTTATCCTATAATGCTAACTACAAGAAATACCTGTTAATAAAAAAATAAGATGTAGGAACTGTTTTAAAACATGTATAGTCATTAACAATTAAACAAAAGTGTTTTGACCACATAAATTCTTATGTGTTTTAGGTTCTGAACCTTTTCCTGGCCTTACTCTTGAGTTCATTTAGTTCTGACAATCTTGCTGCCACTGATGATGATAATGAAATGAACAATCTCCAAATTGCTGTGGGAAGGATGCAGAAAGGAATCGATTATGTTAAAAGAAAAATCCATGAATTTATTCAGAAAGCCTTTGTTAGAAAACAAAAAGGTTTAGAAGAAATTAAACCTCTTGAAGACCTAAATAATAAGAAAGACAGCTGCATTTCCAATCATACCACTGTAGAAATAAGCAAAGACCTCAACTATCTCAAAGATGGAAATGGAACGACCAGTGGCATAGGCAGTAGTGTAGAAAAATATGTTGTGGATGAAAGTGATTACATGTCATTCATAAACAACCCCAGCCTCACTGTGACTGTACCTATTGCTGTTGGAGAATCTGACTTTGAAAATCTAAATACTGAAGAATTCAGCAGTGAGTCAGACATGGAAGAAAGTAAAGAGGTAGGTATTTTAAAATAAAAAGACATAATGGGATTATGTATTTCTGTTGCTTTAAAATTATCAGTCTGTTTTCCAATTGTTTTCTTTCATTAAGAAAATAGGAAACATCTATTAAGGAATTTTCTGTATTAGATTAGGATAGAGGTAGACAAGTAACACACTGATGTTTTTCAAATATGTACCATTTTGAAATGGATAATGTTAACATGCAAATTGATACAATGTCTTTTAAACAATTTAATTCTGAAAAATCCATCAGTTTATTCAGTTCTTTGTAATTTTTTTTCTCAATGGTGGTTTTTGTATATACTTGAAATATACTGATGGAAAGGTAGTTCTCTAAGTTTATAAAATTCTTGACTCTTGAAAAGTGTTTCATAAAATGTGCTTTTATTTTGTTTAAACAATCATATTTGTTAGTGGAATATCTGATTGAGATCTTGGCTTGATATATGCATTTTTTGTGTTTCTTAATGTAAATAATTTTGAAAAGAAAATAAGATAGTGATGAGAAATCACTCTGAAATTAATTTTTAACCCTATTGAGCTCAGTGCATGCTGCTTAAACAAACTAGAAACATTATATTATATGAAATTGAGAATTGTCCAACTTGTAGTAAGCATTGGTAGTTTAAAATATTTTTTTTAATTTATAAGATGAGCATGAATACAAGAACTCTGTTTATAACTCTGCTTTTGCTCTGTTTATAGGTTAACAAATACAGAGTTGGAGTAAAAGAAATTTAAAACCTTAATGCTTAGTTGCTTAATATACAAAATGAAGACACTATTTCCCATGATAAAACTAGCAGAAATAAGCAAAAGTGATCTAATAAAAAACAAAGATGCATCCATCCAATCACGTGATTTCATTATAGGGAAGGCTGAAACATTTACTGCTGCTTTTATTCTAAGAAAGATATTTGGGGGAAGATATGGGCACAAAAGAATAAAATTTAAGCACAATGACAAAGTCTCAGGAAAACAGAGATCAGTTAACAAATTATAAGACTAAATATTGTTTTATAAGAAGAAGACCTTATTATTTCAATCTGCTTTCCTATATTTATTCCATTAATTTATTAAAGAATATGCTGTTGTCTATTCTTTGTGGTTTACTAAGTAGATAATTCAGTGTCTGATTAAGTTGAAGTAACTGTTAAACATGACATCTGGACAGACTTCAAATATAGGTATTAATATAAATTAGGATATAAATAGAAGGATCAAAGCTCTTAGTTTTATAAAATAACTGATGAGATTCAGAGGGAAAATAATAAAATCTTTATAGTCTGGGACAAAGAATTACTGAAGTTAATTGAATTCAGGTTTTTAATAACTAGACCATCATTTAAACATTGATTAAAATCTCAAGACCTGGTTAAGAAAATTTAATATATGCATAGTTGGTTGAGCTACGCTAAAAGTGTGGGGCCTGATTTCTGAAGTTGTATACTATGAGAAACTGAAGCCAGTCTTTAGTAAGTAAAATTGGGTTACTAGAATTTAAATGGTTTTTCTTTTTCATTGTTTTGGCTCTATCCCCAATAATGGATGTTTTCCTTGTAGTAAGGCAAGTCACTTTTTATATATGTTTAATTTTAGAATTTAATATGAACTAAGGATGAATTGTGAAAAATTCAATGTTGGCATTTAAATCAGTTTAGTCTTTGGAATACTTTTTTGAGGTGTGACAAACTCGACATCCCGTCTTTTTTCTTTTTAGAAATTGTAAAGCCTAAGAATCCCCTCAATCTTTTTCCAAAAGTACATATATTTTGACCCACCTCAAACCATTATGTTTAGCATAGAAGGGACATCTAGAGAAGTGTAGTTAATAATAGGGAAACCCAGACTATCTTCTAGGTGCTTTTATTGCCATTAAGCTTCTTTAAAAAAACAACTTTGACTTCTATTTTGAAATAAGTAGTAGGCAATGAATCTGACTATTGGGATTGTACAGAATTAATGTATTCTTTAAGCTGATGTTGTTCCTGTTGTTGTGAAGTGCCACTGAGTCAGTTCTGAGCCATAGTGACCATACACAGGGTTTCTGAGGAACAACTGGTGGGCTTGAACCATTGACCTTGAGGTTCAAACCAACTTTGCAGGACAGCGCATTAACCCACAGTTACACCAGTACTTCAAGACCCTCCCACTGTAGAAATTACCTTAACATTAACAAAGTTTATTATTCGAAGAATTTTTAAACTATGGATTTATATGAATTTTAAAATAAAAATTCATAAAATTATAGAAGATTGAGGTGATAGATTTTAGTCTTTCTGTATCTACATGGTAGGTCTATACTAGGGAGAAAAAATGAAACAATTATCCAAGAATGTCCAACACTTCCAACTGAAATATCTTCTGAGATTTAAGTCTAGTCATTTTTGTGTGGTTGTTTTCTCAATTGATGCATTAGGAGACTTCTATTTTAAAGAATCATCTGCAGAGTATTTAGAAATGCTGTTCTTTTCTAAGTGCTTTTCAAAAATAAGAAAAAATAGAGAAAACTTTTTGTCATTGTTGGAAAGCCTAAATATACACCTCGTTATAAGGAAGACTACCGGGATACACCCAGAGTTTGTTAGGTGTCTGAACTAAACCCTCTTCTATATCTTTGCTAAATTTGTGTAATTTTTTTTTTATGTAGATTTTTGTGGAGGCTTCAGAGTATGTTATTTTAAATGCATGCATTAGTTGTGTATTCTTGAACTTTTATGTTATTTTCACTGTTTTCAGTGTAATTCATTTTATACTTTGTGATTTCTAGGGACTGATTTAAAAAAAACAAAAAAAACAAAAAACAAAAAAAACCCCAAAAAACGTAATCATGTTGCCACCAAGCTTGAATGATTATTTTTCGCATTGAAATCTGGTAGTACTATATGGTGACCTTCACTGCTTACCATTCTTACTTCTCACAGGGGTAATCAAGCTGGAGCCATCAAGATTGCAGCTCTGGTGGTTTTTAACCAGTCAGAGACCCGTGCCATCACTTTTGCCCAGGTTACCCAAGCAAGTTATACATGTATAAACACGATCAGTTTCTAAATGAATTTGACTGGCCTGCATGTTACTCAGCTATGTTCCTTGCCCATCCATTGGCAGTAAAGTAGAAATGCACAGCTGCTCTTACGCTGAGTCATATAAGCATGGTCAGGCAAGTCTGACAACCCTAACTTTTTTTTTTTTTTTAATTAGTTAGTTGCTAATGTTCTTACCATATATTTTAATAGATGTTATATGCAATGAAAAGAAATTATGCATGCCTTTATGGATTTTTTTTTAATTTCCATTTACCTTTAAGGAATTTTGAACATGCTGAGGCCTCAAGGTAAAGTGTAGCTACTTGAAAAAATTACAGTAAAGTTTTCTTACCACCAATGTCATCTCCCACCCCCACTTAAAGTATTTCTCCCCCAAAGAATGTACTTCATTGGTAATTGTTTCATCATCATAGTTAATTTCCTGAAGAGTAGTCTGCAAATTCAAGCTATCTCTTCTTCAGATGCAAACTTCCTCAAGATTGTTTTAATAGTAATGTTGTGTTGTTAAGTGCTATGTAAATGAATTAGTAAGCTTGTGTTTTCACTGCTAGCAGCATAGACTCAATTTTTATCTGCCTCAATTAAAAGATTTTGTCATCCTTTTATTTAGCAATCAATGAGAAATATTTTGCATTTAGAGTATTCTTAGAGATTCTGTTAATATTTTCCCCAAATTTCCCCAAATGGGAATAAATGCCTTTTATAAACATACAAAAAAAGAAAAAAGAAGATAGACTTATAGATGTTGTTATTGTTAAGTGCTGTCAAGTCACTTGCAACAGATAGTGACCCTGTTAGGGTTTCCAAGAAGCAGCTGGTGAGTTTAAACTGCTGGCCTTACGGTTCAAATCAACCTTGCAGCCTAGTGCTTATCCTAGAGTGCCACACCAGGACTCCAGACTTATAGCTAGGCTTATAGGTCTGCATTCTACTTTCTTCATCCTAATGGCCTTTTCTTTTTTTCTTTGTTGCCTCTATTTCATCCAGACTTGCTGGGAAGCTTCTTCCTGAAAAATATTATTTAAATATATAAATTATACTTATATATGATTTTCAGTATGATAAAGAGATTATTATATCTATAGTTAAATACATGGTACTGTGCACTGCAGACTCCTACAAAGGAAGAGAATATTATGGGCCGTTGTTCCCTTGGTGTTTGTAAAATGAAGAGCTTCCAATTACATCCGAGGGTATCCCTTTTCTGTAGACTTCCATTTGACCATTATTACCCTGATGTTGAAACCTCAGCTTAGAACACAGATATGTTAACTGAAGTCTCCAATCCAATATAATTAGTTGTTTTTTTTTTAAAAAAAAAGGTTCATGAATATGTTGTCATAAACTTATGGTACTAAAACTTCCACATAAGCATATTTGGCTTTTAGGAACAAGTAGTGATCATTCCATTTTTTAATATTAGGAGCAATATATTCAATCATTGGTTTAATAGATACATGAAAGATAATGCCTTGTATATTAATGGAATGGTCTCACATAAAATCAATTCAGGTGTATTATTGCTTGTTGTTGTCAGGTGCCATCGAGTCGGAACCGACTCATAGCGACCCCATGCACAGCAGAACGAAGCAATGTCCCATCCTGGGCCAACCTCACTACCGCTGCCACACTTGAGTCCATCAATGATGCCACCTGGCTGATCCATCTCGTTGGGGGTCTTCCTCTTTTTCTCTGACCCTCCACCCTACCCAGCATGACATCCTTCTCCAACGACTGTTCCCTCCAGACAATATGTCCAAAGTAGGAGAGACGAAGCTTAGCCATCCTGGCCTCCAAGGAGCACTCTGGCTCCACTTCTACCAAAACAGATCTATTGGTTCTTTTGGCAGTCTATGGCACTTTCAGTATTCTCCTCCTACACCACAATTCAAAGGCATCAATTCTTTTACGATCTTCCTTATTCACTGTCCAGCTTTCGCATCCATA